AAAAACTAAACACTACATAATATTTAAGTGATCTGTAAGTACAGATGAATACATACATACATACATTAAAAATAATTTCTAATAGTTGATAAAGTTTAAGTATTGCAAGCAAAATTGCGTTGCATATTTGTATTTGTAAAACGGCGATTAAAACTAGTAATTTTTGTAACTACCTACTATCTAAAAAAAAAATAAAGAAATTTATTTGCTATAAAATATATACTTTTACTTGAGTAAATCCATATTCATTAACTTTTAAAGTGCAATCGACTGCAAGTAGCAAATATGTACTTTTGTTTATACATAAGTTAAATATTGTAAAAAATTATATCTCTTGAATGGTGCATTATTTTAGAAGCGACTTGGAAATCACACACTGCAAAGCAGTTTCTTCCAAGCAGTGAGAAAACAAAAAAAAAAAAAGAAAATTCTATTGTTTCCGTATATGTATGTATTTTCCACTTTAAGAAAACAATTATTCCTTTTGTTTTTAATTATGTTAACTATCTGCAACTATCATTAGCTAATAAAATTGTACTTTTTATTATAAATATGTAATAAGTATTTAATTAAGAGACATTTGTATTTTACCATTTAGGCTGAAGAATTTTAAATGAACTTTTGAATGAAATAATAAAGAAAATACATATAAAATGATAAATAAAAGATTATAATGCTAGCAAGTGGTTTTATTTCCCATACATCACTACTTTCCTTGAAACATCACTTCTTCATACTAAATACCCAAAAAAATGTCGCATGCGATAAAATTCTCCCATGCGATAAATACGGCGCACAGCAACTGACAAAACTCCAAATTACACCAGGCGCGCAGATGTGTGCAGCAAGGGTGACCGGAAATGTAACCGGGAGCAGGGCGCCTGAGGATATGCAACATTTATTGTAGTCCCGATCGACACACCGTGTTTGTGTATCCTTCAGTTCTACCAAAAAACCCAAATGAAAAACCCCCCATTCTACGAGCAACTCAAACACAATAGATAATTTTTTTTGCGCTTTGTCAAAAAGCTAGAATTTTTAATTTTTTCTACTCTTGTTTTTCCTTGTACAACAATCGTGTCCGTAAGCTGGCGGCCAAACAACACAACCAAACGTAAATTTGGTAAAGCACAAACCGCGCCAATTTCACATAAATTCACCTAATCCTACAATTTAAAGTGTAGAAACTCTTCATATTTCAGGCTACTGTTTACTGTTCCTTGGTTTCGCGCAAACGACGCACAGCGGAGCGGACAGATGCAGCAGCGGTCGTCGAGTATACCCAGGCGCCACCGGCAACCACACGCTTACAGCGTTTGCAGGACCAGATACCAACGCAAGCGCGCTTCATCGAGTCCTATAATAGTATGAAATAAAAAGCTTTAGTATTTTAACAGCACAGTCAAAATATGTGGTTTTAATGCAAACATTTTACCTTGCCGCAGAAGGTGCAGGTATATTTCGAGTGCTGAGTCACTTCCATCTTCTTGACCATCTTACGCAAGGAGGCACCATAACGGGTACCATATTTACCAACGATTCCAACCTTCTTGGTGCGTTTGGCCTAAAATTTGTAATTTTAGAAAAAAAATTGGCATTAATCAGAGAACAATGACAGCGTACGTAAACATTCACATATATGTAACATGCACAAATTTTAAAAATTTTGTTAACTATACCAACAATCGGTATATAAACTAAATTTTTCAATCATTTGTAATTCACTTTAACTTGCGATTAACGTAATTTATTTCGATTTATTTTGCCCGTACCATTTTTAAGTTGTTGATTTGTCAAAAATTCAACAGGAAAGAAATCAAACGTCACTTGAAGTTGGCTACGTTTGATTTTGACAGCTGGCAAGCACGCAGGGTTGGTTTTGAACGCAAATAAGGGCGGGTAGAGACTGCTTGATTAATGGTATTGACAATTCCTTTTGAAAATTTAAAAAACCTTTAAAACAATTGCTTATGCAGCATTTAGCACTTTCGAACATATGTATTCGAATAGCGTGCATGGAATCGCATTTAGCAAAAGTATATTTACGAGAGTTCGAAATCGTATGCTTTTGACAAACAGCCGTGTTCGGCATACTTTTAGGCGAAGCGAGCTCTCTGATAAACAAAAAATTAGGACTATTTTGGGATTTTTAATTTTTGATACTTTCTTACCCAACTTTGACTATCTCTGGTGAAAAAAAAATGTACTGAGCTATAACTTTACATTACACAAAAAAATTGCTCATTTAATAAAGATTTCAGAAAGGTGCTTACTGTTTCGAATAGAGAAAAAAAGTTATACCCGCTTTTGTGGGCAAAGGACTGAGACACGCTAGAATGTATTTAATAGATTTAAATTTAAGTTGCTCTTGTTACCGACCAATGACATGCTAAATAGTACAAAGGTACATTATTACCTGCTCCTGACATTATTTTATGTTACTTACCGGAATTCGGACTAGAGTCTATAACAAGGGCTATATCTATCAATATTTTTTGTGAAGGATAGGTTCACGTGAAATAAAATATACATGACTTGTTTGAAGAAAAATTTATTCATTTATTGATAAAATATGCTCAAATTGGCGACCTTCTACTCTAATACAAGCTCGGCACCTTTTAAGAAAAGACGCTTTTAGAGATCTTAAACTCAATTGGGCTATCTTATCAGCAGCTCCATTTATTTGTTCCCGCAAATGCTCTTCGTTTTGAATTGTTTTTGAATAAATTTTGTCCTTAAGACAGCCCCAGTAGAAAAAATCTAATGGAGAAGCAACTATCTGGAAGTGTTTTACATAAAAAATTTACTAAGTATAGCCTGGTTTGTAGATGCAGTTAAAGAAAATACATGAAAAGGCACGATTTTTTTTTAATTCAAAAAAATGTAAATATTGCAAAAACGGTAACACTTTTACCTGAACATTTTTTGTTTATCAGAGAGCTCGCTTCGCCTAAAAGTATGCCGAAAATACCACCTTAAAAAGTCCACAAGAAATGTTGGAATGTGCTTTTTAATATAATGTCGTTTTTTGGCACACCATATTAGCAATTTTGGCGAGAATTTCCATTGTGCCAGAATTGGGCCTTTAATTTTGCAGCCATCCTATAATTTTACCCCTCCTCCGAACGGCAGATATTTTTACAATAGCTGCTTTTGGCATATGTAACTAATTTTTAATTTGTAAAATAAAATGACTAAAGCGCTCAGAGGTAAGCGATAAAAATTTTTGCTATAGTGATTGCGGTTGTTTCTTTCACACGATAGTTTCTTTTGCTCACATGTTTATCAGGTTTTGAAAACCGCAGGTATAAGCATATGTAATGGTTGCCATGTTAATTCAAATCCTGTTATTCATTATAGTACATTTTCCAGAAAGTAAAAACTACACCCAATGTGAAACAAAAATTTCTATTTGCGTTTAAAAGCGCCTTTTTCAAAATTATTTGGTATAAAACAAGTTTTCGTGCAACTTTTCTTGCAAGGCCGTTTGATTTATACGGCAGTGAGACCTAACTGCACAACTGAATTCCTCAACGTCAATAGCTCAATGAAAATCCTTCACATGTGGCAACGCTGAACAGCTGGTATGCACTTGTTTTCGTTTTGTTATGTTTTATCGCAAAAATATACGACACAGAACTATTTAAATATTGATAAAACCGTGGAAAGGTGATTATTCTTTAATTAGCGGCAAACAAGATTAGCGCAGAAATAAAAGCGAAGAGAACACTTGCGGAACGAAAGCAAAGTAATTGTATGCTAAATATCAGCAAAAGGGAGACTTGCGTGTCAGGGGTTGCGAAAAGTTGATATTCTTGGGGAAAGTTAGAGGTATTTTGTAATTTTTCAATAAAAGCAAAGAATCGATGCTCATGCGTATGAACAAATCTTTTCAATCAAGCATAATAAGAAGAATGTGCGAGTCCAAATGTTTTACACTGCTAAAGGATCCAGGTTCCTACACACCAGACACCATAGACTTGAATCAGGATAAAGATGCGGCTTCTTATTGGTTTCCTTGTTTTCGAAATCTGATAGAAAAATTTGCCACACAAGCAGCAGAAAGTCAACGTCAAACCGATGCAACAGCCATCGAGCGTTCGGAAAAATTTCGCAAATCTTATTTGGAAAAGTTGGATGAGTACCAAAGAAACACAGAGGTTAATGCGACTAACAACACTGTGCTCGGTGTACGTGAATTGCTTGAATTGAATGAGACACAATTGCGCCTATTTGGCTTCGCAGATCCGTGGCAACAACAAAAACAATTAGAAAACACTGCAGCACTTGCAGCCTTGAAGAAGCGGCTCGAAGAGTTGGATGCCATTGATGATAATGCAGCGCGTTGGACAGAACTGGTGCGTGGTGTGCTCGCTGGCAATATGTTCGATTGGGGCGCTCAAGCTGTGACGAGTATTTTGGAACAAGATTCAAAATTCGGTTTACATGCAGCGCTAGATCGTATAGAGAAGCGGCCATGGCTAATCGACAACTTGGATGCTTGGTTGCAACGTTTGCGTGGCAATGCGCATAAATGTGCGCTCATTTTCGTAGATAATAGTGGCGTAGATGTAGTATTGGGCATGTTACCTTTTGTGCGCGCACTGTTGCAACGTGGCACCAAAGTGTTACTATGTGCTAACACGGAACCCTCATTGAATGATGTAACCAGCCGAGAGTTGTCCGATTTGCTGGATAAATGCTGCAAATATTGCAACGTTTTGGCACATGCATGGCACGATCAGCG